GCTTTTTGAAAAGTAGAGTAACTACGCATTATTTAAATTTTTTTGGAGATAATTAACATAACCATTGGAGAAGTATTAGAAGTATAGGAGAATTATTTTCTATAATTTTTTTTAAAAAATAAATGTTGTTTGGTCGATCAAATTAAAAAAATATTTTATTGTTTCAACTTCAACAAGAAAAGTTTAAAATTTTTAAAAATTTTTTATATTGCATTCGGAAATAAAATTGTATGTTCAATCACATTTTACATCGCAAACTCAACACTGTGACTAATTTATAATTTTTTGTTTCTGTATCTAAAATTATGTGCTCAAATATTTTCATTTGTTTATCAGAGAATGACTGGAAAAAAAAACTCATTACGATTGTACACAGACCAGTATACAACAAACATTTTTCAAAACGACATGCATTATAAAACGCATGAGAAGTGGATGTTACATTCATTTAAACGTGACATCATACCGTGGCGCATGGAACAACATATCTCGGCACACTAACAATCTCGTCACAAACCATGCTCGCCCACTACAATTCACAACGAGTTGTCTGGCATGCAAACATGCGAAACGACTGAAAACTCTTATCTTAACAACGAAACTTATTACCAAATAGGCAGCTCAACAATTAAACTGGCACTAAATTCCTCTGTTTGCAAAACAAAATTTTAACACCAAAAAAACCGACAAAACTTCAAACTTAAAAATTCATGAATCTAACAAACATACACTAACTTACAAAAACCAAGATTGCATTCACACAAAAATACTCAACCAGGGACATGCATCTAAGCGCACAAAAATAAAAACGTGTGCATCCAACATGCCTTCCCATAAACATGCTCATTCCAACACATTCATCTTGTAATAATTACGCTTTAAATCCGAGCGGCTACGTTCGAGACATTTTGTATATGAGCTTGTAAGACATACAAACTGGCGACCTCACAGGCGGAGATATACGGAGACATATTCACGCGAACCATAACGCGAACATCCTCGCATCGAGCCAAGCACGCTTGCTATTTAAATTTTCTCGCCAGACTGAAGCCTGCAACACCAGAACCTTTTAAACTTCGTTAACATTTATATATTCACATGTTGCTCGCTTCATAAGCCATGCACAGCGCATGCAAATAAATAGTTGGTACGTCTGTTCTAATTAATATCCGCATTTATCCTTCCTTCATATCTGATCATGTCCAATATCCATTGGGTTAATCGTGCGCTCTGTTGTATCCAATATTTTGAGTAAGCTTTTCAATAGTTTCTTTATTGAAAAAAAAATTGTTATATTTGTCCCAATATTGTAAAATTTAAAAAATGTGATTTAATAAATCAAGGAAAATGCATGTAGATTTAAGACCAGCGCGTCCTTATTTTTTCGATTAACTCTTAATTACAATTTTTCTTTTTCGTTTTATGAGCGATTGCAATATGAAGGCATCGTAAACACACTCGCTCTCTCGTTGGTGCGTGCGTGTCTTCCGTGCTCTGCGCTACAGTTATCAATGTTACAACCGTCGGGGAAAATAAGAAAACTTTTGGAAATAGGCTCGTTAGGGAACATCTTCAAATTGTTCAACTTGTTTGCAAAACAAATCAGAATGCTAAAAAATGTAATAATTATTTTCAATTCAATAGAATTATTTGAAAGGCCCGTAACTAAGTTTTTGTGAATAATTGTCAAGTTACAGCAGTTGTATTCGGATCTATGAACTCAAACATCATTAATTCTACCTCTCTCTCTGGCCGCAATTGGCTTAAGCACGGGGGTATGTGTGGTGCATACGTGCGTCAGGAGCTTGTCCCTATAAAAAATAGGAAGAAAATTTTATAGTACCTTTATAAACTGTTTACAATACAAAACAACACCTAAATTTTCCTCCCACTACCTGCAACTCTAGCGAAGTCAAACCACCGTTGTGGGATTTTACATTTCATGTCGATGGTTGCCATTTGGTAAAATATTTTAATATTTGAGCTAGTTTATTTAGAACAAAAATTTTTGATCACCAATTGCGCATTTTTCTTTTTGAAAAAACGTTTTTCGAATTTAAATCCTATCATCTTTATAAAAAAATTTATCTTTTCGTGTGGTCAAACCTATTACTCATTTGAAAAAGACATTTACTCGAATGCTTGCATGAAAAAAACTGCGGATAAAAGTAATTATTAATTTGAAATGTTGCAAAAAACAGAAAGTTCATAGAGATATGAATGCATAACCTGTCTGAAGAGTGAGCACGAGCAGTGTCGTTGGAGATGTGGAAGAGGAGTGGAGGTGTGAGGCTTTAGACCTCCCACACACATAAGTACGCTTCAGCGTTTTTCCAGGCACATTCATGCACGAAAATTCTCCATGCTCTGTTTTACCAAGTTTAATGTTTTTATTATCCGTTTGAACGCACACGATTATTAAAATTTTCAGCAAAAAAAAATTTATATTGGTCGGTAAATTCTTAAGTAAATAATTTTTCGCCATAAATTAAATAGATAAAAAAATAACGCTTTGGGTCGAAAAAAGGCGAGTTTGATGTGCGTAGATTATTCTTTATCTGCATGTTCGCGATCAATAATTTAAAAAGCAACTTTTATTATTCGTTCTTAGATTGCTTATCAAAACGTCAGTCGTAAAGCATTATACGATTTTACTATTTTTTATAATCAGGTAGAAAAGTGTCTTTAAAATTAATAGGCTCTGTTTAAATTAAGCCAAAATAATAATTGCACCAAACTATGGATGAAAAATTAAATATAACTTACATTTTGCGATGTCTCATTAATTAATTTACTGTTTGTTTGTTTGTAGATGCCAGAAATCGTGCAGAACAACGGTGCCGACATTTTTTTTCCTAGAATTTTGATAAGTCTTGTATGGATCAATAATTAAAGATAATTATATGTTAAACTCCAATGTTTATAGAAACCTGACACACAAAATATATGAAAATAAACGTTAATATAACTTCAATTCCCATAAAAATTAGTGGCGAACGACTTAACTTCACGTAGAACATCAGCGTAATCAATGGGTTAGATGTGCATAATTTTGTTCAACGTACCAAGTTGATGATTTTCATGACTTTGAGCAATTTCAACGGATGCAAGATATATTGCCTGGAATACATAACATGATCGTTGAGTTACAACGTTTGAAAAATATTGTGAACATTCAAAAAACGTCAAACTTGGGAATACTATTTTCAGAACAGCACAAACCTAAATCAACAATTTTCATTTTGGTACATAGTAATTTTTTTAAATTTTGCTCACAAAAGTATTGATATTGAGTGAGTCAACAACAGAATTAAGTGCTATTTCGCAATTCAAACATTTACATATAATTTTAAACAGGCATCCACAAAATGTGACCTACCAAAACTTTTAAGAAAGTGAAGAAAACGGAAGATGTGTTCAATATGAAGGACCTATCTGAAAAGCAGATTCATCACAAAAATATTTAACAATAAAGAGATAGCTAGAGAAAGTAAAGGAAAAAAAAGAGAAAAAGAGAGAAAAATAAATTTAGCAGCAGCCATAATTTTAAGAAGAGACTCAGTTAAGTTAACATTGAGACCCAAGCTAACCATCATAACAAATAAAAGTAAAAATTAATTGTCTCAACAAGCATTTATTTGATCGTTTAATAAGATATTCATTAATTTGGCGTTGCCAGAAAGACAAAGACCTGACATATAAATATAAATCTTTTAACAATTTTTTCCATTTTTACAATTCTCTCTTAAGTATTTTTTAGATGCATCATCAACGAAATCACAGAATAGGCACAAATGAACGCATCTTACATATGGCACGTGACAAGTGTTGATATATTTGTTATCGAACCAGGTTAGTGCAGCTGCAGGGCAAGACATCTTAACCGTTCCACCACCAACTCGTCACATGAAAAGCAAAGTAATTAGTAAAAACGATAAATGAAAAAATCTCGAGTAAGTTTCTCGAAATGAAGATCAAAGAGAGAGAGCTAAGTAACGTAAAAAAAACAAACTGTTATAAAAAACGTATCCAGTTCTTCAGCTTGTGTATCCCAGTAATTAAAATAAAATTTCATAAATTTCATGAAAAGTTTCAAGTCATTGAGTCATCAATGTTTTTGGTAAGAATAGTTTATCTAATTGAAATAAAATTTTAAATATTTGTGTGTCAATATAATACATCAGAATAATAATCATTAGTAATAACATCAAGCAAATAATGCTCAAGTTCGCAAAAAGTATGAGCAGTTTTTTTTTATTTCTTTCCATTCAATTTAGAGACTGATTTGAAATTTTCATTAATTTTTAAATCTACAAGAATGAATAAAAGTTAAAGCAAAGCGTCAGCTAATTTTTGCTTTGACATTAGTAGCAATCCATAGAACAAATGATGAGTAAGTGCATTTCACACGATCCATGCGCTGTGCAAGTGTTACGATTAAAGTATGCTCGCTCACACCAGGTGGATGTATCATTGCTGTTGTGTGGGTCTTTTCAGGTAGAATGTGATTCTTCATAAAAGATTCAATAAAAGTATTTACTCACCTTTGTTTGTGCTTGGCTGAGTTAAACAAATTTTCTGTTTGTATGAATGAATGAATGAATGAATGAATGAATGAATGAACGAACAAACGAACGAATGAATGAATGAATGAATGAATTGTTCGTGCGTGTCATGATCGTTTTGTGTTTTGTGAAAGTTTTTATATCGTTGGAGCGTTGGCGCATAATTATGGTCTGCATTCTTCATGCGTTGACTGGGTGCGCGTGTTTAAATTTTTAACTTACAGAAAAGCCTAAAAGTTGATGAAATCAAGTAAAGTAAATATAAAATGACTGTATGTAAATTAAATTAGTCAAATCAATTTAAAAACCTTCTCTATTTTAACCGATTAAAAATAACACAAGTTACTGCAGGGTTAATAAACATTTGAACGCAAAATCACAACAGCCTCCTACACAAATGACTGCACGGCCAACAACAGCCATTCCATCATCAACATGACGACAGCAACTTCCAACTCCAACTTGGACTCTAACGTTCCTACCATCAACAATGGCTTCCTGGTTTTGCATCCTTACTTCCAATACTTTCATCCCTCCGACCCTTACGTCATTCATGATGACGCCACTACCAAATCTTGTCCTTGGATTCTAGAAACAGACCCCGGAAGAAAGTTCAATGTTACCTGGAGAGTTCCTTCAAGCACCCTCTTGCTCATGGACGGTTCCGATTTAGTACCTTTGAATGGTTATTTTTTTAGTCCATTGAAATTTTTCTAACAAGGAGACAATTTATATGAAGGTAGTTCTTTTAAGGCAAAGTCTGTGAATTTATATTTAAAACAAAATTGTTTAAAAAGATGATTTGGGCATCGGCAACCACCAGCACCCTAACTACTCACCCATCCAACCGCAACACCAACAACATCTTCTTCCTCCTCCTTCCTCTTCAACTTCTTCTGCAACATATTGTGGTTACGCGTGGAAGTTCGTGGATGGCGAGGAGGAGATGTTCTATGCCGCCTGCGTGTCCGGGGTCAAGAAGCCGCAGATGAGGTTCTTCCTTTCCAAGACAAATCGCCTGGAGGTACATTACACGGGATCGTCTCAAAAACGAGAACACGCGAGGCTGCCACTACTCGAATTCAAAGGTTCACAGGAAATATTGTGCTATTGTGTTTGTGTGTTGATGTGTTTGTGTGTTGATGTGTTTGTGTGTTGACGTGTTTGTGTGTTGATGTGTTTGTGTGTTGATGTGTTTGTGTGTTGATGTGTTTGTGTGTTGATGTGTTTGTGTGTTGATGTGTTTGTGTGTTGACGTGTTTGTGTGTTGATGTGTTTGTGTGTTGATGTGTTTGTGTGTTGATGTGTTTGTGTGTTGATGTGTTTGTGTGTTGATGTGTTTGTGTGTTTGTGTGTTGATGTGTTTGTGTGTTGATGTGTTTGTGTGTTGATGTGTTTGTGTGTTTGTGTGTTGATGTGTTTGTGTGTTGATGTGTTTGTGTGTTGATGTGTTTGTGTGTTGATGTGTTTGTGCGTTGATGTGTTTGCCTTGAAAATATCGTGTTAATAGTCATCCATAACTCAATAACATAAAATGTTTCAGCAACTGCAAATCATTTTAAAATTAGAAAAAGTTCTTTAAATGCGTTATCAAAATTAAAACAGATAATGTTAATAATAAAATGTTTGTAGACTGATAAATAACAAAAACGTTATCAGTGGTCGGCTGCAGCCACTACAAGCCACCTGACGGCACATTCACAAATGGACATGAAGACAACATGAACGTCGTTTGTAACACGTCCGGTCAAGTCTGGCACGTGACTTGTCAAGATGGGATTTGGAAGGGAACTGTTGGAAGCTGCAGTCCGTTTCCTTCTACTTAATTTCTAACATAAATTTCAAAACATTTCGGCAGCCAAATCTGCCAATGTCTACATTCGTTGCTATTATCTTTTGCACATTCAAGATGCATAGTTATCACGATTGTTGGTTAATACTTCATCTTTATTAATTGAAAACATAACGGGACATTCATTTTAAAACTTGTTAAATTTTGTTTCAAAACTCGTAAAATTAACAGCAAATGTATATTAATTTTAATTTTAATCTAATTTCCGATAATTAAATTGAGCTAACAAAAAATAATTAATAATAATAATAATAATTTTAATAATAATTATATAATTATAATAGAAAACAAACATTTGGTACAGATGGAGGCAACCAGGCACGCGAGAATGCAGCTGTTCACATAAAACCATCTGCCATGCCAAGACTGGAAATGAAACTGGATAGAGGTGCATTTAATTGTTGGATGGTTGGATGATTGGATGGCTGGATAAATGGGTGGTTGAATGGTTAAGTGGTTGGGTGGGTGTTTGGGCAGTTAGATGATTGGGTGATTGCGTTGGTTGGTTTTTGGAAGTTCGGATGGGATGGTTGGATGGTTAGGTGGTTAAAAAATGGGATGATTGGATGGTTGGAGGGCCAGACAATTGGAACTTTGAATAATTGGATTGTTAAGTGGTTGTATGGGTGTTTTGACGATATAATAATTGGATAGATGGAGGTTAAGATAATTAGATGGTTGTTAGATGGTTGTATGGCTGAGTAGTTAAATAATTAAGTGGTTGGATGGTTGAATGGTTGAGTGTTTGGGTAGATGGTTGGAAGATTAGATAGTTGGCTAGTTTGGTGGCATAATGCATTCATGCATTCAATGATCAAGAACTTGGAAATAAATTGATTCTCAAAAGTTTTCAATAACTTGAATAAGCAAATGAGTTGTGATAATTAGGATGTCCAAAATCAATTTTTAAGTTAATAATCTGATTATATTTTGTCAAAACAAAAAACGCAGCGAAGATTTTGTAAACTTGAAAATGCGAAACCCAACCAAGTCGAACACGATGCCTCGGTGGCATTAGTTTCATACGGACTCCATAATTAGTTCAAGTCTACATCAGGCATGCGATGCAAATGAGAGCGAATTCTGAGCCAAAAATATGATGATTATTAAACAGGAATTTGCAGATTTAAAATTTTCATCTTGGGTAAATAATGAACGACAGCTTACGCGAAATTAATTGCTAATTGAGGGCAAAACAAAAAAACGTTAATGAGCCCCTTATTAGGGTTTCGGAGAAAAATCTAAATTGAAAAAATGTTTAGTGTTCAATAACTAAAAAGAAATTTAAAAAATTGAAACGAGGGTGCTATAATAGCGTAATCCATATATTAAATCGAATGAAACCAATAGATGACATTGAGGGAATGATTGAGCAAATTTGAAACCTACACGAACAGCACTTTGAATGGAGTCCTTCAGAAATTAATCTCTTCAAGTCTGCAAGGGTCGCCCCAACGAAGCTTATTACTGGCTGCCGTTCATTGCCCTCGTAAAACGCCCCGCAACATTAACCTTCCCATGCAAAAAGATTGGTTGCAAAAATTAGATGACCGACAATGTAATATATACACATACATACTTAATAATTTTTTATATGTATATATCGTTTTCATAAACTTGTATTAACAATTATATATACATATATATATATATACATATATATATATATATATATATATATATATATATATATACATTAAACAGAAAGGACATTACAAAATGGACAGAAACAAATAATGTAAAGACTGAAACTGGTTTAGTAATATGGACATCTTTTTACAACTTCAACAACTACATTTGTGTGTCTCCGCTGAAACACAATTTTCATTGTTATAAAAATAAAAACTTATTATTCATACTCAGTGCAAAATTAAGATGTTATTTCGTAATTTAATTAATTGAAATACAAATTATTTAAAAAAAACTTCATTGAGCACATATAGTCCCTGAAGCGTTTAGTAGAATGAACAAAACTATCTGTTTGCTTGCTTTGCTTGTAACGAGCTGCATGAACAAGCTAGCTGTGTGTATGTGTTGATGTGTCTGTATTAGGGTGGTCACAAAAACATTTTTTTAAATCTTAACGGAGCAACCCCTTAAATTGGCTAAAAATGACATTTGTGAAGTTTTAGCTAACTCGTGCCTCATCGTGGTTGAAAAATTGAGAAAATTTGGAAAAAATCAAATTTTTTGTTTGTAAACTAAAAACGGCTTATTCTAGAAACAAGATTTTGGTCTCATTTCGTTTATCTGTTTATTCTCTTCAAATTTTATTATCAACCTACAATCAGCTACAACCTATAGTTTCTGAATAATAAAAAAAAGAAAAAGTTGAATTTTTGTACTATGGCAACACGCCATTGAAGAATAACTTTTAAAGTTGAACTAATTGTATTCTTTGTAAATTACTGTTAAAAAAGTAACTAAATTTCGGCAATTTGGTCACTTAAATTCTATTAATTGATTTAATTTAAATTTTGTGATTTTCTTCATTTTATCTAAATCTGCTAAGACGTTTGCAGCTTCTTGTGCTCTGCAATTGTACCTCTGCAGAAAACAGTTTAGTTTGATAGATTTAGAAAAACAGGTTTAGCGATAAATGTTTATTTATTAAAAATATTTAGGTAAAAGTTGGGCGTACCGCGAAACCAGCATTTGCACAAACAAAATCATTATTTGCAGTTGATAAATTATTTAGTAAATTACAAAAAAACTTGTAAACATATCTCAGTTTATTTTCAAAAATCGTCCACCACTTGCACTTAATTTTTTTTAACAAGTTTATTTCATGAAGCGTAAAAACAAAACCTCAGAGTACCCTCAATCTTTCTTATTTTTTCGACAACTCTTCAATTTACTGGTGAATAGCGGTCAAACATATATTTATAGAAGGAGAATATGAAATAAATGATGACCACTGTAAAATCAAATCATCAATTAAATCAAATTAATTATCTGAAATATTAGAAAAACCATCATTTTATTTTGCCGCAATTTATTTTTTATGACATTCAATTTAACATAAAAACTTTGCCTATTAATCCAAAATTATGCCTCGTTAACTGCTCAAAAACCTGTTCATCCGAGCCTCTTACTTCTCAAGAATGAATGAGAATGTAAATTATTTTTATGATAGTTGTTTTATGTATGTGAAATACAATATGTTGAGAAAATCTGTTTCTTGGGTATGTTGGATGTTGTTGCATTATCTCAGAAATTGTAGTTTCTAGCTAAATAACGGGATAATGAAATTTGTGAAAGAAAAAATGAAAATAATAAATTTTCAAAATATAAAAAATTGCCAAAATTAAATTACATTTCCAACAGCAGTTCTCAAAAATACAATTAGTCCAATTTTAGAAGTTATTCTTCAATAGTTTTTAAATTAATATTATGCACTATTGCGTAATATAAGAATTCAACTTTTTTCAGTGGTAGATGGGTAAAAATGCAAATATCTAAGAAACCATAGGTCGTATCCAAATAGTGTTAAGAAAATTTAATGAGAATAAAGAGATAATCAAAACAAATGTGATCAAAATCATGTTTCTAGGGTGAAGATAAACCGTTTTCATTTTACAAACAAAAAATGAGGTTTTTTTTCCAAATTTATTCAATTTTTCAATATTTTAACCTCGATGAGACACGGGTTAGCACCACCCAGTTGAGCTAAAGCTACACAATTGTCTATTTTTGGCAAAGTGGCACAATCTCAAAAAAAATTTTACCTATATCGTTGTGCTGATGTGTGTATGTGCCTGTATATGTGCTACTGCATTTGTATGTGTTGTATGGGATGGCGTTTGTGTTTTGGCTGATATTTAGGTAACGTAGTGATAACTAACAGTGCACGTGAAGCAATTTTGAAACACAAATCCATACTCGTCCCTGATCCATGCGATGTTTTCTTTGCAAATTTTCCCATTATAAAATGCAACAGTGTTTATCAGCATAACTTGTTTTATGCTTGTACGTATGTACGCTTGTTTGTTTGTTTGTTTTATTTATTTATTTATTCTATTTTTGGTCATGTTGTTCGTGTTTAAAATGCTTAAGAATATTTTTTAAATGCTTGTGAAATTTCGTTTGCTCGTATTATTCTTTAAGACGGAGTTACGTGCGGTGTGCCTGCATATGTATGAGAGTGGAGGGAGGCATGGGTGTCTGTGGATGTGATGCGCATGTGGGTGTGATGTGCAGTGTGCGGAAGTTCACAGACGGGACGCGTGGAAAAGTTTCAGTCAAATCGTAGTTGTAGTAATTGTGGTGGCGGCAGCAGAGGCAGAGATGGTAGTAACAGCAGAATGAGTGGTGTTGTGGTGGGATTAAAAACAGCAGTGGCAATAATAGCCGTAGTAGCAGACGTTGACGTAAAAGCAGCAGTAGTAGTAGCAGAAGTACTTATAGTAGTAGTAGTAGTAGCAGTAGTAGTAGTAGTAGTAGTAATAGAAGTAGTAGTAATAGTAGTAGTTGTTGTAGTAGTAGTAGTAGAAGCTAGTAATAGTAGTAGTAGTAGTAGTAGTAGTAGTAGAAGTAGTTATAGTGGTCGTGATAGTATATCCATCAATCGATCAATCTAACGTTTATCTACCCTTCTGCAGTGCTTTCAAAGAGTTTCAAAATATGAACGAGAGAGCAGAATGAAAGATAAAAATAAAAAAAGAATGTAAATAAAAATAGAACATAAACAACAAAAATTATATTTTTATATTTGGTCATTTAGAAAAGCCTGGTGCAAAAATATTATTAAATGTTAACGGACTATATTTGTTATCAGCAATTCATTTCACTCATTTTTAAGATTTCATCATTCTCCAATGTTGGCACTTGAAAAGAATTTTATAGGATAAAATCCATCCAAGTAAACTTAATTGGAAACAGCAAATGGGAACAACTTTATGGAAACTGTTGAAAAATATTCCATAAAAATTTAAACAAACTTTCTAAATGTTGTAAAAATGTATGAATATTGAAAATAAAAATATTTAACCAGAGACTCATTCATTTAAAATTTCAAAACAAATATTCAAACAAATGAAAAATTGTTATCACCATCATCATCATATTCGTAAAAGTCATCATCATCATCTGTTGGTATAATCTTGCTAAAAGTGTTTAATCATCATCATCGTCATCATCATCATGTCCAATCATTGTTACCGTTGTTGTGATGTTTGTGTCCTATTTTTGACTTTCATATCGTCATTCATCATTGTAGACATTTTGCCGTCATAATCGTCATAATCATTATTATTTATTATTATTTATTATTATTATTATCATCATCATCATCATCATCATTTTTAGTACCCTATCATTTTTACATTGATCTGTGTTGTGCTATCACTTGCAACCTCATCATCACGGTGATTAATTTATCTTAACATCGTTTGTATCACTTCTCATGTCATCAGCGTTGTTTATCATCAGCGTCATCATCTCTCAAGACAACATCATCATCATAATCATTACATCAACGCCATTAAAAATTTATTAATCATCATCATTATCATCTTTCTAGTCATTAATTCTAAACGTAACTTTCGCAATCATCGCCACCACCATCATCATCACCAACATCATCATCATCACCACCATTATCATCATCATCACCATCATCATCATCATCATTGTCCTATCAGCATCATGATCATGGTTGTCGTCATGCTTGTTATGAGCAATGTCATAATCATAACATTCGTCGTCATTATCATCATTATCCTCATCATCATTTCCTCATCATCATCATCACTACCACCATCATCATTCGTCATCATAGCATCGTCATCATAACCGCCATCATCGCCACCACCACTGGCCACGCATCCACTCAGCAGGTGTCATAACGGCTGTGCTGGTTGGAATACTGCTCGGTGGAACATTTGGTGCCATGCTGTTGCTGGGCATATTCATTCTCAAGAGAAGGTTGTTGTTGTAGATGGTTGTTGTTGCTGTTGTTGTGGATAATGTTGTTGTTGTTGTGAATGTTGTTGTTGTAATTGTGATATTGTAGTTGATGTGTACTTGTTGATATTATTTATTGTTGCAGCTGATGTGTTTTGTAGTTATAATGGCTGATATATATTTTCCTGTAATTTAAAAAAAAATGGTTTTTTTTATTGTGATGCGCAGATGACGGTTATGTTGATGTTTTTGTTGTTTTTATTTGATTGTTCTGTTGTGTTGTTGGAAGTAGTTGTTTAAGTTAGTCACAATTGAGATTTTAGTCATTCCTGCAATTTATTGTTGTTGTTGTTGTTAATAAGTTGTTGTTAATAAGTTGCTATTTGCGCCATTTTCTTGTTGAATATTATTTCTAAACTGTTGAGGCAATCTAGGTTGTTGTTGTTGCTGTTGTTGTTGATGATGATGTTTGTTTGTTTTTTTGTTTCTTTCGAAGGTCGTTCTTCACTATTTGCTGTTTCGCGTTGTTAAATTAAAAAGAACGTTTTATAGAGCCTGTGAGAGCTCTATAGAAAATGTTTGCGAAGATTCATTCAACGAAGAAATTCTTGTTACTTTGTGAATCACTAAGATCTTTCACGTAAATATATGATTCGTTAATATCACACATGTTTAATTCAGGCAATTTTTATATGCCTTATATTTTTTTATAGGCAGAAATTTTAAAACGTTTTATTTTGTGAATAAAAATGAAATGCAATAATAAATATGAGCAAAATGACATGCACGCAACAAACCGAACAGAGAAAGTTCCAACCGCAACAGATTGCAGCACAAATCCAGCAGCAACAAAGCTAACAACAACAAAACAACAACCACCAACTTCAATGAGACCATCTACAACACTCCACCGATGAACCAGCATCACGTTCATCCTGATTACCAGCTTCATCGGCAGCAACAGCTACAAATGCATCCACACAAGCCACAACAACCACAATATCGTCAAATGAGCAACAACAGCCTCAACAGAAACACAGACAGAGAACACTTACAACAACTGCACATCTCTGCTGACGTCATTTCCGCTTGCCACCGTTGTTACGACGACCATCCGCCGCCTTCCTATTCGCTGGATCAGCAAACCACGTGTACCTGTTTAGCCAATCAACAATCGCCTACATGTTGCTACAGTGATCAAACTAAACTTATTTCTTTCACAGGTAAATTGATTCAAAAATATATTTGAGTTTCAGCTAAAAATGTATTTCTAGTTTCAACATCATGAACTACCCACCCCGACAACTTTCATTTCAAATCAGTTTGAAAATCTTTTAAAATTGAGCTGTCATGTTGTATGAGCTGGCTGGATTGTCTTCAATCAGATGAAAAAGTTGTGACCGCTTGTAAGAATTGAAATGTCCATTTTTGCTGCTTAGAAAACTAATTTTTTGTAATAGAGTTTAACAATTTAACGTGTAATGAACAATATTTTTATGAATATTATTCTGTTGATCCATAATTGATGTAATGGTTCTTAATGTGATGAATATGTATATAAGGAATGTAATGTGATGAATATGTATGTAAGTACTGTTAATGTGATAAATATGTATTTAAGGATTGTTTATGTGATGAATATGCATGTAAGAAATATTAATGTGATGAATATGTATGCGACAAATGTTATTGGGATGAATACAATGGCGTTGCCAAAAATAACAGTAACTCTTGCGGTGGACTGCAACAATTTATTTTAAATTTTTTATAAATATTTTTAAAAATTGAGATTGAATCGTGAAAAAAAACATTCATCTTTGAAGGCTGCTCTGAATGCAAATTAATATTACAACCGTAGAATGATCCGTTAAAAAACTCCAAACACAGGAACGTCGCCAGAAATATCATGCTGCCATAGAAACTCCAAAAACGACTTGACTGCGGAAGGATCTCTAGTGCTGACGAACATGGCAGACAGGACGCCTGGTCACGTGATCGATGACGACATCATGGAGGGCGGGAAGAGCACAACATTGAGCAGGGGCTCGTTGAGGAAGTTTTCGAAGAATGAATACCTGGCGGTGAAAAGTGATGAAGTGGATGATTAAAATATTAACGACAGATCCACCGTTTAATTTCAATTGGATTGTGAATGACTGGTTGAATTAGTAAATGAAGAAAATTGAAATGAGGGAACAATCAATACATACATTCGTTGAAAATAAGTTCATATTGTTGATTATATAGTCTGTGATTGAAATGAAATGAAAAGAATTATTAAAATAGTCTAAATGTTTCATTACATTAAATGTCAAATTGTCTATAGAAACTATTTTATTTGCTATAATTAACTTAATTGTGTATATATATATGCATAATGTATATATATATATATATATATATATATATTTATTCATATATATATATATATATATATATATATATATATATATATATATATATATTTATATATATGAATTTTAGGTTTTAACTTTTAAATACTTAACCATCAGTTTCAAACTTTCATGCGTGTCTTCGATTATTTTGATTCAGTTCTTCAAAGCTTTTTAATCATTGTCTTTTATTAACTATGATGTTTATTTTCAATTAAATGGTTTTAAAATTTCAAAAAGTTGTTTTTAAATGTAGAATTATAAAATAATTTTTAATGTTCAAAAAAGAAAAAAAGTCGAAGGCTCTTTTTTTTCAAAAACGCGATAAATAGTCTTTGGTTTTGGTTACTATAGCAACGAGCACTTGTTACCATGATTAGGAAAGATTTGTGTTCAAGGCTTATAAATAATAAATAAGGTTTTATAATTTCAAAAAAATTTTATCACCATGAAAAAATCTAACAAGAAACCTGCAAATAAAAATATAACTGACGACGAAAAGTTTGAGAGGAGGCGTGAAAAGGATGTTGTCGACAGTGGGAGAAGCAGCTTCAGTAGCGGCAGGGATGGAGCCATCTCGGAGGACATTGAGGATGTCAAGAAGAGGATTCTCCATCGAATGAATGATTTTCATTTCGAGTCTGAAGTTTTTGATGAACACAAAAAAATAAATCATGAAGATTTTATCGAAGAAAATAATATTAATAATTCAATTGCTACAAATTTTAAAAATATTGATGACAACGATCTTATTAGCAAGCCTGAAAACGAAAATGAAAAGTTAACTAAAAAGACCAGTGATAACGTTGAGAACAAAAGTTCAGTCATGGACTCTGGTGAATTAAATAAAAATTATGAAAATGATTTTGGTGATAATAAGGACAATGAGTTGATAGTGTTAGATCCAGATCATCCACAGATGAAAAGATTTCAGAAATCTCTTAAAGACCTACTTGAAAAACAAACAGCAAAATTAACTTTAGAAATTAAAGAACTCAGTGAAGCATTGAAAAGTAAGAAAGTTGAGAGGGAGAATATTGGAGTGCAGTTGTACAGTGTTCAACAGGACCTCATCAAGCAACAGACACTGCTGCAGAAACATATGGAGGATCTTGAGAAATTAAATGCTGACAGACAGAAAAGTGAATTTGATCTATCAACATTGAAAGTTAAGTTTGAAGACGGGCTTTCATATTTGACATCTGGCAAGCAAGATATTTCTCAACTACAAGTTGGTTACTCTAATTACTAATGTCCAAGTTGAAAGCAACATTTACGAAAATAAACACTATATTATTTTTTATCATATATATAATATTTTGCATTGTGGTGTTTAGAGTTGAATATTTAGAAGAAATCAACTTTTATCTTTTTTATCTCTTTTTATTCAACTATTCTGTTAATGGCAGTGACATTTTTGATATTTCCAAATTGACAGTTAGAGTTGGAGAAGTGGAATCTTCAATATTTCTATCTGGAGAATGCAGGAGACAACATGGCAGCTGATGTGGCTCTCATGAAAAGGGCTGCATTGAAGTCCAACGTCGAGATCAACAAGGCAGAACAACTCAAGAAGAAACAAGTTCAATTTTTGTTATAAAAACATCATTTTGTCGATAAACAATGTATATTTTATCAAACATAACTGCATTCAAATATAACACTTAATATAATTTAGTATCTTACCCTGTTTGATTGTAAACAAATTTTTTTAACTTAAATTTCAACATATGTATTTCATTTAAAACATCACATGACATTAAGGTGAAAAGAAATGGGCAAAAAATAAAAACTAAATATGGCAATCCAAAAAAAATGAAAATTAATTAAAATGCCCCAAAATTCACTGTATATTAAAAAAATGATTGAAATGAACCAAATAAACAATCATTTGACATCAATGAATGGAATTTATAAAGAGTTTATAAATCATTTGTTCAGGACATGTTTGTGGACCAGTTGACTAAGAAGGTCATCTCCCAGACTGAGGAACTCGAAGAACTGAGGCAGCAGTTGGCCAACCAGATTGAAGACACGGGACTTGCCAAAGAGATACTCAACGAATCGATGATGGAGTTTGAGGCTGGTTCTCTCCTGCTACTTGTTCACTGGCATTCATGTTTTATGATTTAACATTCTTATTCATGTTATATATGCAGGGTTATAGAGAGAGATTTAGGAATAGTTCCGAGTATACTCATAAAAGTTGAGAAGGAGAACTTGAAAAGAAATGATGATTGTTGATGAGTGAATGCTGAAAATAAGATGATTGAAGACGAAGGAAAAATAAATAAATAATATTTTTGAACCAAGTTCGATTGAAGTTAACCTTTGATATCTTCATGGTTTCTTGGTGAATTAAGTTAATAGTGACATGAGTGACTTTTGAATGGTGACAATTAACTTTACGTCATAATCATTAAAAACTGATGTCATCACCATCATCAATAACATTTTTTTCTTTATTAAACCGCTTACATATCATCCCTGTATTTAAACTTTTGTGCAACAAAAACTACTATCCACACCACACGACGTATATACACATTATATACCCATACGCAAGCACCACATCATACGCGCATCGACCGAGTTTCGACCGACAGTATTCGAACCATGTCATCGCGTAACTGCACGAAACATGGCACTTCTACCGACTGAGCTAGTTTACCGATCACTTAGATTAATAGTTTCAAAACAAGAGATAGATATCTTCATGATATAAGAATTAGATGCTAATAAATATCAAAAGGGTATTATGATTATTACTAAAATGTTTGTTATGTTATATCAGCAGGATTATAATTTGTGATGCATGAAATTTTAAAGGAGGTGTGCATGGAGAAGAAACGACTGATGCAGGAGTGGAACTTGAGTGTGGTCAGTCTGAGGAAGAGGGATGAGACGTACAACAAGATGGCTGCTGAACTGAGGTTGGTGCATTTGTGAATGACCGGTGGATGAATTGGTGTTGATGCATTAGTATTTATTAGTAATTGTATGGTGGGTTACTTGTGTAGTAAATTTGTGAATGAAATAGGTGTTGGTGCATTAGTGAATGTATGGCAGATTGTTCTGTTAGACCTTCAATGGTTTACAGTCAAAACAAATTATTTTCAAAATTGCCTTCATGGACTTCATGTGCTTGAACGGTCTCACTCCAAATAATATTTACCTGAAAAGTGTCTATGTTCAATTAATCCTGTTCAACATTTCCAGTTACGCTCAAATGATCAGGATTTTTGATGGTTCAAAAAACACAATTGTTTGTAGTCGGCCCAACATTCTGGAACAACTTGTTGTAATCGGCCCAACATTCTGGAACAACTTGTTGTAGTCGGCCCAACATTCTGGAACAACTTGTTGTAGTCGGCCCAACATTCTGGAACAACTTATTGTAGTCGGCGCGACAGTCTGGAACAACTTGTGGTAATCGGCCCAACATTTTGGAACAACTTATTGCACAGTACTTTCAAACGTTTTGAAAGTAACTTAAATCTCATCTTGTTTTGGACTAATCCACACAACTCAAGAAGCGCTTTTGAGTAATATAAAAGGCGCCGTAAAATTTCTCTAACAATAATAATTGGTTGACATTGGTGCATTAGTTCGTTGATCATGTTAGACCCCTTGACCCGTTTCAGAGTGGTATAATTATTTATTTTAGAAATAATTTTTATTTTAAACTAATTGATCTACCAAAAATAAGTTCTTCTGAAGCGTTAGCTTTTAAATCAAAAATTAATGGTGTAGATGTTGTTATTTTGGCGGTTTATAGACCTGGTTCTGTTCCAGTTTCTTCTTTGTTCATTACTGAGCTTGTAAGTATCTTTGAAATTATTATTATTATATCTTCGAGTTTTGTTGTTGCTGGGGATTTTAATGTTTATTTAGAAAAACCACTGGTCGACATACTTTTTCGTTACTTGATGTTCTGTATTTGTTTCGTTTTGGTTAGCCAATACATGAATTGGGTGGAATCTTGGATTTGGTTATAACATCTGGTAACTTTCCTGTTTTTGGTTGTGAAATTTTTTCTCATGATGCATTTTCGGACCACTCTCTGGTTAAGGTTCATTTCCCAATTATTCGTTCTCCAAGAACTTGTTCTAGAAGAATTTTTCGATCATGGAAATGTATGGATGTTGATCGGTTTGTTTCAGTGGTTCTTAAATCCCATGTCAGCAAATCGTGTCAAAGTGAAAATTTTGATGAACTTGCCAAACTATTTGAAAACAAACTTTTTAGAATTGCTGATTTAGTTGCTCCTCGGCATGTGGTTCAAAGTTGATTTGATCCTCTGGCTCTATAGTTTGATCTTGAGTGTAGACGTTGTAGATCGTCTTGCAAAAAATAGAATCTCAATATGGAAAACTCTTTAGGATGTGCACAGGAATGGTTGCGTTGATGCTATGAGATTTAAAAAAACATCTGTTTTCTCATAAGAAGAATGCTTATTGGAAAAAGATGATCAATGACAGTGGTTGCAATCAGAAACAATTGTGGGCTATTCTTAATAAGCTGGTCATACATCACAGTCGTTACAGAAATTTTTTGAGAATAATATTGATGAAGTTCGAAGATCAACTATATCTTGTCCTAGACTGGTGTTTTCTGTTTTGGAAAGTGTGGATCATGGTATTTTGATGAATCGTCTTGCTGCATGTTTTGGGGTTATTGATGTGGCTAAACACTGGTTTCATTCTTACTTTTCAAATCGCGCTCACAAGTGTTTTTATGGGTATTTTATCGGATTTTTAGGTCGTAACTTCGGATATTTCCCAAGGCTCGGTTTTGGGCCCGATATTGCATTTGTTGTATTCGTCTGATCAATTCTTACAATTTTTATACTCATGCATATGCTGACGATTTGCAGATAGTAGTTAGTGAGCCATATAATACGTTTCCTGCCATGGTTGATCGTTAAATTGAATGCTTAGCTGAGATTAATGTTTGGATGGCATCCATTCAATTAAAACTAAATAGGGCTAAGACACAATTGTTGCCAACTGGGACCTGACATTAGCTTTCTAGGGTTGCAACTGATTCTATTGTCATAGACGGCCAATGCATACAATTTTCATCAAAAGTTACTAACTTGGTTTGTATTTTTGACAGGAATTCGATTTTACGGGACCACATAATGAGTGTAGTTCGCACTTATATGATTCAACTTCGTGGCTTGAGACTCATTCAAAGATTTCTCAAAAGTGACTTTGCTTAGTCTTTGATACATGCGTTTGACCATTTGCGTTTGGACTATTGTAATGGTCTGTTTTTTGGTTTGTCTGATAAAACTATTAAAATGGTTCAGTTGGTTCAGAATTGTGTGGCCAGAGTTTTGGTAGGAACAGCTACGTTAGATCATGTTTAACCTATTTTAAGGGAACCCTTTCGGTTATCTGTTGATAAGAGAGTTATAAAATATCGTTTCTGGGGTATAAGGTTTTAAATAGTTTAGCACCCAAGTATTTGACTGATAGATGTACTCTTAGACCCACACTTTTTAGAAATTTTAGGTTAAGAAGTGATGTTTCAAGTCTATTATTTGAGCCAGCTTCCCATCTAAAGATTGGTTTTCGTGGTTTTTTAATTTTTCGGCTAAAACTATTGACTATTCTTTTTGATTGGAAGCAGCATGCTTTGTCACTCTCTCCGTTTAAAGAGAATGTTAATAAAACTATTTGTTCTTTCTGAAAAATCGTGATCTCTCTGTGCCAATCTATCTATTTATCTTTTTATTTATCTATTTGTCTGTCTGTCTGTCCGTCTGTTTATCTATCTTTGATAATTTGCGCTTTTGACATTAAGATTTTAATAGCGCTATATTAAAAACTTAATAAAAATTATTTTGAATGTATTGGTCTTGATGCATTAATGAAGGCATTGTGAATTGATTGAAGTTTGTGCATTTATTGTTGCATTTTTAATGTTCATAAAATCACCTCATACTTTCAGTCAGTTGGATGAACGCACGCAGGATCTGGAAGCAGAGATGATCGGAGTGAGAGGCGCCATCGAACGCGAGCAGGAATCGAATGAAAAGTTCATGGGCATTCTGTCAAGGGTTGAATACGACATCAGCAAGGTTTCGCAGCAAGTCAGTGCGTGCCAGACGACCGCCAACCAAATGAAGGATGGTTGCTCCAGGCTGAGAAAGATCCTCAAAGAAACTGAATTGGCTCTTTTCAAAGTAACTGAGGTGAGGAATTGTTAACAGTTAATGTGTTGTTTTGCTGCTTTGTTGTTGTTATGTTGTTGTTTTGGTGTTGGGTTGCTGTGCTGTTGTGTTGTTCTTGTATGGCTGTTGTGTGGTTGTTGTATTGCTGCTGTTGTTGTTATTGCTGTTATTTTGCGTGTTTCTTTATGAAGCTTGTAAGCTCTTTGATAATACACGCAAGTTGAAATGTACTCACGATTTATTTCGTTATTATAAATAATTTGTTGCATGCACATCGTAAACACGAAGGAGAAAAAAGAGTTGAACTCGACGCTCGAAGCACTGCGGAAGCAGCAGGAGAAGTTACATGAATCGAAGCTGAAGTCTGAGAGTCGTTTGTTGGAGAAGATGCAGGATGAAGTTAACCTGGGCAAGGCTTCCAAGTTCACTAACAAGTCTATCGCAAAAATTGTCGGCAGAACAAGAGAGATGGTTTGAATTAACAATATTTTTAAATGTACTTAAAACTATTCATCTTTTGCAATGTTTTGAGATAAAATGTGCAATTTTAAATTGTCAGAAGTTAATTAAAGAGCGTATGTCTGAACATCGGAGAATGGGAAGTGTTTGATTGTATGTACGAACTTTGTACTATGCTCTAGAGTTTGTTCAGCTGCAAGAAACCTGATGTTGCATACCAAACTAAAAAAAATTGTATTGATATAAAGTTCGTTATAATTTCACTGCAGGAAGGTCAGATCACGGTGCTTGAAAACGATTTGACAAAAAAATCATTTGATGAAACTCAACTGATTGCCGAATTAAACTTTCTTGAAAAAACTTTGAATGAATTGAAAGAAGAGATAGCAGAGAAAAATGATGCCGTCAACAAAAGTGAATCTCAAATCAACAAACGTAACACATTGATCGAGCGCAAGCAGAACCAATTAGATTTGATGATTAAAAAGCTGGATGGACTAAAGGCCGAGACTGGGGCGAGTTTGTTTTAATAACTTGTGACATTGTTATCAACTTCTAAAATTTTGTATCATTAGTATCATTAATATTTAAAATTTCAAATATTTTAATCAAATTTATTTAAAATTTTAAACATCGTTATCAACAGCAGGGTTTAGAATTGGGACCAGCGCAGCTTCAGATCAAATCAATTCAAAAGTCAATATCAGCGGTGCAAAAAGAAATAGAAGAGGCTCAACAGTTGTGGCTGAAAAATCAGGGAGAATTAGTGAAGATGGCGTCTTTAAAGAGTGACGAAGAGACCAACGTTGAAAATCTGAAGAATCGATCGACAGTTTACCATCAGAAGCTTTTGAGGGTGGAAGGTTGTTTGTTGCTCATTAATCTTTGTTGCTCACGACCTGTCATTTTGTCACAAGTCTTTTTATTTTCAACATTCAGTGTTGAGAATATCGTTATATTTGAATTTTTTCACAATTAAGACAAGCAACCTGTTGTTGTTTTTCATGAAAAAGATGTTCATCTCACGATATTTTAACTACAAATTTGTTAAGCATACATTATCGCAGTTTTAATTGAATGAATTTTTAATGTATTTTATTATATAGCCTAATGTAACGTTCCATCTTTTTTTCAAAAAAAGTAATTAAAAATCGCTGATAATTCGGTAAAGTTATTCAGCTGCAAATAAAAACTGTTTCCCACTTATATTGAACACTAGCATCGAGGTTGTCATTGAATCATTAAATGGTTGGAATCAAACATGACAAGCAGCGATCAAAAATATCATCAGAGAAATATAAAAAATTCATTCACTTGTTTTCAATATTATGCACAACAAAATGAATCCAGCGGTATCAAACGGGACGAATAAACAAACATGACCCATGCGACTTCAGCACGACGCTCAAATGACCTAACGAAAACAGGCGATGTAGAACGGCACAAGAAGGAATTGAACGAGGTGGAACGAAGTTTGAACGAAATTCGAAACGACACGACGAAACTGAGCACACTGATTGTGAAGGAGAGAGGTAGTGGGGAGAGCATGCAGCAGGAGCACAAGGTGGCAATTAAAAAGTACGAAGCCTCACTTAATGTTAGTCTCTTCCTTCTCTTCACTTTTTAAATGGTTTCCTCACTTTGTAATTTTTGTTGTTGCACGCAGTTTATGTATATTCTATGCGCCTTCTGCGATGTTTTGCGTGTAACCATTGCGTTACTTCTGTTTCTATCGGCTACTATTTTATTACCTCTTTATTATGCAATATCACTTGAGGGCTTGTGAAGTTATAAATAACTCATCGTTTAGAATGTGTTATTGCTTGCGTTGCGATTTGCAATGCTGAGTATGCAAATTACAAAGTTGCCAGCAAATTTATCATTGTAACATCTTAACATTAATTACTATTTACGTTAGGATGCAGAGAGAGAACTAATTGAATTGGAGGGCAGATTGGAGATGATGAAGGAAGAGAGGGGGAGATTGTGTGATGCTATCATGGAGGCTGAGTTGGTTTCGGTTTCATCATCAGTTAATTTATTTCATTTTTGTATGGCTCATCATTATCATTGCCATAATCACCTTCTTCCTAGCCATTGTTGTTATGATTGTTTAATGGTATTCATTGTATAAATATCTCTTCATTCATGGAGTGCAACTTGACGAGCCCAACGTGTTTCTCTTATTAACTTTCTCATCGGCGATGCATTGTATATTAATCAAATCATTATGTATGTCTTTCGTAGTTGTTGTGGTAGAAGTGCTCGCAAAGAGTGGATTTGAATGCATGTATGCGAATGTTTTGAGTTGGATTGTAGTGAATGTGAACATGCATCTGAGCAGGAAGCAGATGATGCTGTGGGACAAGAAGATCCAGTTAGCCCAGGAAGCCAGAGATTCAGTTGATGGAGAGGAGGTGAGGAGTGAGGTTGGCTCGTTGAGGAATGAAATCCATCGCATGGAGGTCAGACTGCAGCAACTCATCAAGGAGTGCGAGAAGAAGTGCTTGCAGATGGAACGATTAGTTGCTTGGTTGGTTTGTTGGCTGAATGCTTGATTTGTTTGTTGATTAATTATTTGTACATTAATTTATTGATTGAATTGTTATGTGTTTAATGATTGATTTCTGTATCTAGGTTTTTTTGACTGGTTATTTATGCATTATTGTATGTATATGTATTTAATGGCCTTGGAACATGAGCCTAAGTCAAAGTTATTAATGTTTATCAAATCATTTTCGATTAACTTGCTAACGAGCTGAATATTGAATGTTACTTATTTTTCCATCACGTCGTCGCGATCACGCATTCAGACAACATGCTTCGATCCGTTTCAAACTATCTCGGATCCATTTAAATTATTTTAAGTTTATGTACGGATCCATTTAAATTATTTTAAGTTTGTGTAAACAGTTACCAGACAACAGATCACTTGTTACTTTCATCTAATAAGTTTGCCAAAGTCAGTGTTGCCCTCTCTTCCACAAAAATGGAACAGATGTTTTGAACGTTGATGTACAACATCTTCAAATTTTTTGCTTTTGTTCGCACGACTTTCCACAACTTATAGACTTTTATTTTGAATGTATTGTAGTTTGAAATTTTTTGAATAATAATTGACAGAAATTAATCGTCTAACAATTTTACAATCTTTTCCACCATTCGATGTGCCAATTCTGAAGTCGTGAAGTGAATTTGGTGAAGGGTGAAGCGATGAAGACGAGGAGTGAGACGGTGATTAAGAAGACGATGATGAGGGAGGTCACTGAACTGAAGAGGAGGATCAAAGAGAGGAACAAGGTTTCTTCCTTCCTTTCTTCCTTTGCTCTCTTTCTATCATAATATCGGCTTGATTGATGGTTTTGAGTTTAACTAAATACGCCTGCAATCACTTTGTTATGGCGAAGTTGCAAGCGTTATAATTATTTATGTCATGTATTTATATACCGTTGCGACGATGATTGTTATAAACAGTATCAGACGTCATCATCGTTCTAGCCTGAAGATAAAGTTGAATAGCTAAAAAATCAACTTGTCTTATATTCAAGAGTAACACAAATCTTATTTAGAATGAATTATATACAACTGAATATTTTTAGGAAGTATTATTACTACGCAAATAATAAATAACAGATTAATATGAAATATATGTTTGTGGCGTATATTGTAATATAAAAATAGGATATACATGTTCTCAGGAAGCCGACAATTTTGACAAAGAAATGAAACAACTGCAAGAAGAACAAGAGAGACTGAATGAAAAATTTGAAAGTGAAAGAAGGAGAGTAAGAAAGTTGCAGGAACATTCCCAACAATTAGATCAGCAACTTCAACAAGTGGCCGATGATAAGTACATGGTAAGTAGTAAACTGGTTAGTCGGCTGGCTAGATGGCTGGCTGATTAGTTTGTTGATTATGATTAACTGATTGATATATTATTCTAGATTGTAATTATTACCTGATTATCGTTACTATGGTCATTACAAATATGTGTTGGTCATCGTTAAAAAAGTTATATCGCTGCTGTTCCCTTAAACTTTCACGTTTCACATGACACACATCCATCCAGGCCTTCGTTGACACGTTAGTTGGACAGCATAAAATCAAAAACTTCCAACAACAACAACAATCGAAAACAACATCGACAACGCTGCAAGTTGAATACCGCAAAAAATTGGATCGCATGCAGAGCATAGTTAGGGTCTTGAACAAACTGACAAATGAATTTCCTGAAGCATCAGCTGACCTTCGAAAGGTCATGTTGACCTATGGATCGAAAGTCACCAATGTTTGGAATGGATCATTCATGAATGAATGAATGTTTGAATGTTTGATGGATGGATGGATGGATGGATGGATGGATTGGATGGATGGATGGATTGGATGGATGGATGGATGGATGTACGGATGGATGGATGGATGGATGGATGGATGGATGGATGGATGGATGGATGGATGGATGGATGGATGGATTTATGGATGGATTTATGGATGGATTTATGGATGGATGGATGGATGAAAGAACGAACGAACGAACGAACGAACGAACGAATGAATGAATGATGAATGAATATATATGTTTTTATGAAAAAAAAAATTAATATATATTAACAATACATTAAACAAATTAAAAATACAAATTTATTATTAGTTTGTCTTATGAAGACGACAATGTTTAACAACCCGCATGATCAGTGCAGTTTTAAAATCTGCAACAACATTGCCCTGCCCTGACCACGAACATGCTCTTTTTTGGGCGATTTAACTCACATAAATAATAACTGCTTTTTTTTACAACTTTTCAAATTATTTACAAGCTTTTAAAATTAAATAATTTTATTAAATATTTGATTTACTTATTTTATTATTGTTGTAAACTTTAACGCTCGTTACTATCAAAACCGATGTTATAACTTCAAAGATCTCTATATTTTCAACACCAGTGTCGTAGCTTCCAAAAATCCTCAAGTAATCGTTATGCCGTAGGTTCAAGATTACTGACAGATGAACCCAACAGCTTCAAAGACAACTTTGGTTGAATGTTTATTCAATTGCCAACAGTAATAAAAACAGTAAACTAATCCAAATAACTACACAAATAACATTTACGACTTCGCTTCAATCATCGCCGCTGATTTTACTACTCCAGCCTCTTATATAGCCTCTATGGTATGAAAAGATTCATTGGTATACAATCGATTGAAAAAGATCGAAGATAACAAATATAACAAGATAAAAATAATTATATAGCGTAATTCTACTATTCTCGCGGTTATAACATTACCACCCGTCTTAGCCTGTTAGTCCCTAACATAGGCATTGATTCTTTATTCAGATAAATCAGGGCTAACCAATCCAAATGGACGACTTTCTTTTTTCTCCGTTGTCTTCCACGATCGTGGGTCCTGTAGATTGCGTCATTTATCCCGATAGATGAATACAACTGCTTTAAACGCAAACTTAGTTGAGCGTTTATTCGAATGCCAACAGTGATAGAGACATTAAACTAATCCAATTAACTACATAAACCACTTTTAGGACTTCGCTTTAAACCTCGCTGCTGATTTTGCTACTCCTGCCCCTTAAAAAGCTTTATGGTATGAAAAGATTCAATGGTTTACAATCTAATGGCAAATAGCTAAGATAACAAGATAACAATAATTAATTATTAATATAGTGTAATTAGATCATTCCGACGGATATAATAATATTCATTTGTATATTATTTTTTAAACGTAGGGTCCATCTATTTTATTATTTAATTCAACGTTCCAACACGTTGAATAATTTATTTGCTTCATTAAATATTCACTCCATCTGCGCAGTTCAGTTGGGCGTTCCTGAGTTTCAGGTGAACGTTCCACGTGTATGTGACCTGCATGGCGCGTTTGTCTTCGTGTAGGATGGTTCGTACTGCTGCGTGCAATTGTGCGTGCCCACTTTGTATACGTAGCAAAGTGTACAACCAGAGATGCAACCATGTAGGTACACATAGTGTACAGCACTTTTTAATACGTAGTGCCGTACACTTTATGTACATATTTGTTTACTTGCGGGGCGATAAATAGGAGAGATAGCTTCTTTTTATTCACTGTTCCTTTTTTCTTACTAACCTACATGGAACGTGCTGTGCCTTCAAACAATTATGCTGAAACTGACGGTCAGATTTTAATTAGATAAATATATTATATTGATGACGGTTATATTGATAATAATAATATTAATAAATAGTTATTTTAAATTTGGTTATTTTAATATTTTCTCCTTATTGTCATTTCAATAATCATAACCTACCTATCGTGAATTGAACTTTTCAATCTAATGTTTCTATTGTTTTACACCACAGTGTATGTTCCATATTTTTATTATTTTTAAATCGTGAAAATAAACATTTTTGAAAATATAATGTAGGTCAAAAAAAAGAGAACAACGTGCACTAAAGAAAATTGAAAAAAAAATCAAATTACTTGATTGTTCGTTACGATTATTTGTTCGTCTCAAATGTTTGTTTGTCAACAATTTAATCATTCTTATACAATTATTTACTACTTAACAAACAAAAAAATAATCAGTCAAGTCTTATTTTCAGAATACAATACGTTAGTATGCAACGTGTCGTCCAGTCATACGAGATGTAAAGATGATTTGTCTGTGCGTGGGTGGGTGTTCATTTGTGTGCGTGGGTGGTTGTGTGTTGAGGTGGTGCTTAGAAATAATATATAATTGTATAGAGTGAAGACGAGATGGACATGCATGTAAGTTATTGCAGCAGTTTATATGAGGAGAGGTGGGTTGTTTATGAATATTTATGCGACATTTTCGAGACTAAAATAGAGAAAAGGCTCAGAAGCTTTAAAATAATTTTCAAGAAAATATGAATAAAACAATGAAAAATCTTCTTCTGTTAACGTTAATTTGTGAATAGAGAATTGAAATGTTTCGAAGCGTTCATGTTATTACGTGTAAATAAAGCATTATGCCTAATGTGTGGAACTTGGTTAACTCTACCCGCGGGACGAGCCGGCCATATTCCCATCAAATTATTCTTTACGCCCGGTATCCAACTGTTTCGCATATTTTTTGTGTTTGTTTGAACAGCAATGCATATTTTTAAAATGCTTAGAAATGTATCTACACTGTACAATGTATCTATCTACACTGTACAATGTATCTACTCTGTACAATGTATCTACACTGTACGTCTGTGTCTGTACACATCTTCAAAAATATACTTGTGCTATTAAACTGCTTCGTTTTGTTGTGTTTGAAAAATAAAAGCAACGAAATAAATTACCCCGAATAGAAAAATAAAAAAATAAACAGACGTCAGTTATTTGAAATGCAAAATTAAAAGTCTGACGATTGAGCGCTGAACATTGAGTAGGTTCTGATTGATTGATTGATTGATTGAGTATATATCGAGTGATGTTTAAACGAATGAAAATAAAATATTATCAACACATCATCCGAAAAACTTCCAAAATCAAATACGTTGTATTTATGTTCTGCAGCCATAAATATTTGAACACAAAAAACAAACAGGAAAAACACGCGAGAATTATTCTTTATTTCGCATTCATTTTTCATTAGGCAAATTTATTGCACACCTTTAACTTTTCTCCCGTTCGTTTTCATTATTGTCATCCTCATTGCTATCATCTTCATCATCTTCATCATCTTCATCATCATCATCGTCATCATCATCATCGTCATCATCATCATCGTTATATTAATTACCATCATCGTTTCCACGTTATATAACATTATTGCATCAACTTCGCCCAGATTGGATCATCATTATTATCATCATGTCATCACATATGATAGTGATTTATGATGACATCATCAATCCATATAGCCATGGTAATTGATGCCAAAAATAACCTTTCATCTCATGCCACTCCACAATTGAATGATATTCACCGCTACACATCCAAATTTTTAGTTGTTTTAAAACAAATTATTTTTTATTTTCAAATAGCGGTTTACATTTTTTATCCTCATGTCATCACTTCATCGTCATCTCTTCATTAGACCATCGTCGTCATCATCATCATTATCGTCGACGTCACCCTTAAAATTGTTCGAAGTATCACCATCAACAAATCATCCTAATCAGTTTTTTATTGCGTAATCTTCATCTTATTTTGATTGTTAAGTCTTCTAGCAACATTATGATCATTTCATCATCGCCATCACATTAACATCACGCTGTTACATCACCATCATCACTCACCATTCACACTTGCTATCATCATCATCACCCACATCCTCATCATCATCATCACCGTCATCATCATTCAATCGAATGGGGATGACAAAGCTCTCGGTTTATCGTCGACACATCTGCCAGACTCGATCGCGGCAACGTATGTGTCGCTGCTGCTGTTGCTGCTGCCGTTTTGGGGTTTGACTGGCAGTGGCGTGTCTCTGTTACATCTGGGGAATCGTAAGCAGCAATCCTTCTCACTCCTGCAACTCTGTCCATACCTGGAGGGGGTATCAGGTGGGTTCTGGGCTGACCAGGTGTGTGTGGTGCATGAGCTTGTGATTGTGGTTGTGCTGTGTTGTGTATGTGAATGTGTTGCGTTAGCTGAGTTCAAGAGCAAGTGCAAGGTGCCAAACTGACACCGACTGAGATATCAACAACATCACAGACAACTAAATTTCAGACAACTAAATTTCAGACAACTACATCACAAACAACATCACGAACAACATCTCAAACAAGAGCCACAGCATGAAGAAGCACAGCAGCGTAACCAACCAGCAGTCTGTGCAATGGAAGGCCGACCTATCGCAGAGATTGAAACGTTGGCAGCAGTCCATATCAGTTCTGCATGGCTCCCTGTAGCACATGTTGTCCGGTAGGTCGTGGTACGGGAATCGACTGCATGCATCATAATTCACAAGCTTACATCCGTGCATCATAATTCGCAAGCTTATATTCATGTATCATAATTTACAAGCTTACATCTCTGCGTCATAATTCACAAGCTTACATGCATACATTACAATTCACAACCTTACATGCATGCGTGATAAACCTACGTGCATGTGGCATATTTTATAAATTTCCATGCATGCATTATAATTCACCTGCATTCATTATAATTCACATGCTTACCTGCATGCATTCAATCTTGATAATTTGGTTATCTGAGCGTTAAAAATGTATTCAACACAAAAAAGTAATTGATTTATTGAAAGTTTGATGAACGCTGAAATGTAAACAAAAAAAATCAAGTTAGAAAAAAGAACCGCATAGAGGTGGGTTTACTGAATTGAGGGGGGGATGGGGATGTTGTAAGGTGGGGGGGGACGGGGTGTTGTAAGATGGATGAGTAATTGTAAATGAACATCAACGTTCGTTTCAACACTTGTTTCAACATTTGTTTCATAGCATTATAACAACAAAATCAAACATTGTTTAAATGGACAATATAACAAACACAACATCATCAGGCGTCTTTCACAGCAAAATAACAAGCACACAAGACACATTGACAGCAGCCAAGCAACAAATGGAACACAATAACATCATGTCGATAACACACACAGAATAAAAAGTAACAAAATATCAACAATATATTATACCCGCCATTACATACAATTCAACAAAGGCGAAACAGACCAGCAACAACCACGCAACAACAACAACAACAGAAACAAATATATAATATCAAAACATCTGCATATAAATATATTTTGTTTATGAGCTGCTATCCATTATGAACAATAACAGAATGCTTAATGAGTTAATTAATAAAAAAAACATCTATATGCATTAATGAATGAATAAAAAAAATCCATATGCATTAATGAATGAATGAATGGAGAAATATTTGTATGGATTAATGAATGAATGTAGGAATGAAAAAATATCCATATGCATTAAGGAATGAATGAATGGAGAAATATTTGTATGCATTAATGAATGAATGAAGGAATGAAAAAACCCACGTGTGCGTTAATGAGTGAATGAGTGTATAAATGAATGAATGAATGAATGACTTGGTTGATAGATGGATTAGTGGAT